ATGGAAGCTGCTTTTTGACAGTAACGCTGCACTAAGGATTCTTCCCAACTTTGGTGACAGGCTTGTTTATTCTTTTCCCAGCATGCAATTCTCTGCATCTTTCGAAGGCAACGTCTGGCCAATGCTGAGCATCTATAGCACATCTCGCTGATGAGAAAAAGTGCTCTGACACATTACTTTAGACTTCTCTTCCATGAAAAACAGCCCATATACCGTCAAGATTGAGCCATTCCCCCCTTCATCCAAAACCTCTCGTATGATGATCCTTCTTAATCTCATGGAATCCAGGTCTCCTTTTCACCCCATCACACTTCCCTTCTCCTATGACATGACAGATATCAGTGATGCTTTAGCAGGCCATTCAGATAGACAAGATTTCTTTTTTTTTTTTTTTTTTTTTTTTTAAAGGCTGGATAAATTGATACAAAAGCATGTGCACACCTGCACAGGTATGCAAGAGCAGTCAAATCGCAGCGTCACCTGCCTCAAAGAAGTGTCCCAAACTTCCAGGACTATTAGAAAAAACAAAAAAACAAAACAAAAAAACAGGAGCGGGGGAAAAATGCTCAAAGAAACTGACTGGGTAGGAAAATAAGTCTCACATCAAATTCCTTCCCCGGGCCGAGACAAAAGCAGGGCCTGGCATTCAGACACCGTCGACTACACAGACGGAGAAGACAGAGGAGAAAAAAAAATAAAAAATAACAACACGCACATCAAAACCAGAGCCAAACAAATCCGAGAAAAGTTCAGATAGGTCTTCATTGGAACTGCCGGGAGGAACAAAATCAAATAAATTGGGGGGTTAGTTTCGTTCAGGCTGGCCCGACAAATCTCAAAACACTGTTTAGAATATATGAGGAAGGTGACATAGGACGATGCTAAATGACTAAGAAAGCAGATACCCGGTGTTTACCCCTGCAAACTCTAAAAGAGAAGCCCCTCTCCTGTTATGAAGTGGGTGGGAGCAGAAAAATGAATTCGAGGCAGCTTAAGTGCTCTCTGGAATCACTCAGCATTCCGCCGTCCTCAACACACACACATCCACAGAGTTCAAATTTGACTGTGACAGTGTGTTCATCCATAACTGTAAATTGTTCTTTGGGGAATTTGGCGGGCCTTCATACCCCCCCCCCCCCCCCCGTCAATCTTTCCCCACTCTACTCCTCTCCCCCTTCCAGAAAGCTGTCTCTATCACTCTCTATCACAAGCTGCTTGTTCATACTTCATGTATACAACAGACAGTCGCCCGAGCAATAGTGGGATCGCTCAATGCTGAGCCAGAGAGATGATCTGGATCTGGAGATTACGGTGAAGGACGCTGCAATAGCTTCTTCATTTATCTTAGTACTTCCCTGGTATCCCGCAAGGTATGGCTACCGGGGCCGGTACACGGTTTAAATATTTTGAAACAGGAAATCCTGAACGGCTTCAAGCGTCAAAGCACCTGAGCACCAAACCTTCCCCGGTGCTAATGAATTCAGTCCTGCTCAGTGATAATAAAAAAGTATTTGGACCGTTCACGAAGACTGACTGAAGCTTTCTAGCTCACACGAACACTGTGTATTCTTAAAGGCCTTATTACGGCAAGTCAGTGTACTAGAGTTCTCCTGGAGAACACAAACTATTCTTTAACTTATAACTTAAATGTCAAAAGTCGAGCAGGTGAATTAAGCACCCATGAACATAACTTCTGGCGACGGTAGATCTTGCTCTGCTCAGGCGGGGAACCTGTAAATGCGCTGCTATGCCGAGGTTGCAGAGCAGAAGGAGACCGCCATCGCCAGCTGTAGTTAGCATGCTAGCTGTTTAACCGCTAACAATGATCAGGTTAGCAGCAATTCAAACTTTTAAACAGTGACTCAAACAGGATATCCCATGCACTGCTTACACACTAAAAACATTTGACAAACTGCTACCCCTCCGCCACCTCTGCCACTTTCCACACTTTTAGTCTGGTTGTTGTTGTAGGAAACTGACAGCTTCCTACATATAGAGAAAGCCTGACTTTTCTTTGCTGTGATTGGTTGGCTCAAATACATACAAAAAATGCATGCTCCTCTAGAAAAAGTCAAAAACAAATGTTGTACTCCAGAAAGGCTGTCGGTTTGTAAGAAGCACAACGGTGCACACACACCCTATAGTTGTAAATTTTCAGCTCAATCTTTTAGCTGAAAGGGCAGTGTTTTCATGTACCCACAGTACATGCATGCTACAACACATGTGTGGGCACATGTGCCGGTGTCATAACACTCAAGAGCCAAAAACTGCTCTGCATTCTGCGGGCCACCCCCTGGGATATTTACCAAATCACTTCACCCTGTTCTCAAAAGTTCACTTCCAAACTTCCTGGAAAAAGGAGCAGATATTTCTGAGGAATAACAAAGAGGGTTAGTGAGAGTAATAACATTGTGTTTAATCCCACACAATTCTGCCTCGTACCAGAGTGAGAACAGCAAGCCAAAAGGGACTTGCAGCAAAAACAAATCAGCGCTCCTGCAGACGGATGTGTGTTAGCAACGCATAACAGCAGAATTAAGTGTCAGGGGTTTATCTATAAGAAAAATACCACAGTTTACCAAACCTGCGCTTCATCCAGTAGGAACCTACTGTTGAAAAACAAGCTGAACTAAGGTTGAATAAGAAAAGTTGTCATGTATTAACACTGTTTCCCTATTCCCTCTCAACCCCCCCCCTCCCTGCTCCCTTCTTCTGTTTCCACGTAGTTCCCCTCCTCTTTGTGGCTCAGCTCAGACCTCAAACTCTTCCATGCTGCTGCTGGGAAAAAGAAAAAAAAAATGAGGTCACGGATCGCCTTACTCCAGCCTGCCTCCGTATGGTCACAGCCCCCCCCCCCCTCCTGTCCCCTCCCCTCCCCTCCTCTCCCGCCTCACCTTCCCCTCTCACTCAAAACCTCATTCCATCACTGTGGCCAAATCCGCCTCATCCATCCTCCCTCCCTCCCTCCCTCCCTCCCCCTGTTTCGTTTCTTGCCTCCCTCTCCACTCCCACCCTTCCCGTGCCCTCGGCCCAGTGCTAATTGGTAAATCTGTTGAACCATGCCAGCCCCAACAATAAGACACCTGGAGTTCTGTCAAAACAAGTTTCTCTGTGAAACGGCCTCCAGTGTTAATACAGTAGCGCAGGGAGCTGCTGAGTCTGTTGTCGCTCTTGAGGCCGGCCGCAGAACGGAGCCGGGGATCACGCTATCTGGGGAAATTAGTCAAAGATGAGTGCACTCGACTGTCAGTCTGTCAGGAGTGGTTCATCATAAATTAGATTATTTATCAATATAATTTCTGAACCTTGATCCTGGCTCTTTGTGCAAATGAACTATGACCAAATCATGATTACCACATCTCTCTAAAGCCTGCTGAGTGTCATTTTTTTTTTTTTTTTTTGATCCTCCTGCTCAGTATTGGCTCCACGCGCGCCTGCAAGTCCGATCTCTGGGTTAAATGGGTTCATGTCATTGTATGCAAACACACACACACACACACAAAAAAAAAAAAAAAGAAAAAGAAAAGTTATCTAACCTGAAGTGACCTGGCTCCGACTACCTGTCATCTAAAACTCAGGTCACACCTTAGATGCATGGATACTACATATGCACTGGAGTAGACAAAGGTGTGTTTGTAAGACACAAACACACATACACACAGAGAGACAGACAGGCACACCCAACAGTGATCCTGCCAGACCTTGTCAAACAAGTTCTAGCAAAGGCGCTTGTATAAGAGAGGGAGGGGAGGGAGGCAGCATGTTGACATGGGGAGAGGAATGTTTTTTGGTTTTTTTTTTTGCTTCTTCTTCCTTTTTTTTTTTTTTTTGTTTTAAATCCTTGTAGACTCCACCATCATATTAATAGCTGTTTGCACAATCAAGCATGGTTTACCTTCTTTCTTTTTCCTTTTTTTTTTTTTTTTTGAAGGACTCATGTTATTTACCGACAACAAAGGCCCTGCAGAGTGTGCAAAATCAACAAGCAATTGATTAGTCAAACAATTCAAGTAGGCAATCCACAGAGCCATGGTCGCCTCAGAGGAGATTAATAAGTTCCCCTTTGGGCTTCATAATGCCAGCCTCTTTCTAGCTTCACAGAGCCTAACTGAAGCAAACCAAAACAAGGCTTACTGATGTCCTCAGCATGTTAGCTCTGCAGTAAAAAAAAAAAAAAAAAAATCAAGACAAATTTTACCTTTGGGCTCCAGTTTCTTTAAATTACAGCTAGTATTCGAGGGATTGATTTACAGAGGATTCTGGCCTGTAACACTATTTCGAATTAGAGGGGGACATGAAGTATTTAATCTGAATCTTCAACCGAGGGACATAAACTGTGTGTTATTGCCCCATCTATCTCTCCGCTCTTACATCCAGATGCTGTTAATAGAGAGAAGTCTTCAAAACAGCTGCGCAAAAGAAATACAAACAAAACTGAAAGACTCCCATCTCCTGCTGGTGGATTCTCAGCTTATTCAAACCAAATACATCCACGTCTTTGTGACAACTACTCCCGAAGCTGAAAAAGGATGTTGTCATTAAACCGGAGCGATCCAGAAACCGAGACCCGTTCGGCATAGGACAAACACAGAAGGCAAACAGAGAACTTAAAACACAGAAATGAGTTAAAAGCCAAAAAACGAATCTGGACGAGAAGACAACTCGACTCCCTCGTGAAAGCTGGACAGTCTTTGTTTAGTGTTTAAAAAAAAAAAAAATGTAAGTAAGCACATTGGTCAAATGTATGAGGCCTCCCACACAAATATCCAATCACGGGGAACTGGCATTTTAGACATTAAAAAGCACATCAGCATCAAAGCAGCAGCACTGAATTAGCACAAAGCGCAACACAGCATGATTATCATTCATCATCACCAGAGATTTAGGTTTTTCATTCATTATTTTTTGCTTTTAAATCATCAATTATCAGTTGTTAATTTGTGTGTGGAATCAACCAAAAAAATCCAACAAGATATTTTTGGAATTCAAAGGTCTCTCACCAAATGAAATTGGTGAAGGCTCAGATCTGACTGTCCGGGGAATTCCCAGCAGAAGGGCCCCTGAAAGGCAAAGATGGACGTTCCCAAGTCACACAATTATATCAGCTCTCCATCTCTCCTCCGCTCTCTCTCATACACACACACACACACACACACACACACACACACACAAACACACACACACACACACACACACACACATACACACATACACACAAACATGCACATCTGCACACAATCCCAGCCAACAGGGTTTTATGCAAAAGAAAACGTGTTCTCCCCAGGAAATAATGCATCCCCTGGCTTTTTAGTTATTTAAACTACTACCTCACCTCTGCTGGCTCAGCTTTCTCCTGGGTGTATGTTCGGCACCATTATTACTGATTTTACACAGAGAGAATAGGAGAACACTGGCTCTGCGACTGGTTACATGGCTGTTGGTGCTGGCTGGCTGGTTGTTAAAACGATATCTCACTTCAGTAGAACAATTTAACTTCCTTAAGCATCCGCACCATCACAGACGCTCGGGAGCAATCGGCTGGTCTGGGGATCCACTGTCACCACCGAGGCAGAGGAGTAGGCAAGTGCCACAGCCATGTTTTTCTTGATTTTAGAGATGCTAAATGAGTTTTAAATGGACTACGGATCCCCAGAGCAGTCATTTCTGATATTTTTATTACTGCACTTTGCGCACTGGAATTGAACTGCCTTGCCTTGTCCTACTATCTGTTTAAATACAAGTTTCTTTAGAGGAGGAGGCATTCAGAGGTTACCCCTGATGGATTTGTATCTACTGCCCCTAATAGCAAAAGAAAAAAAAATAAATAAATCCCTCTGACAGATATCTAGAGATGACGAAAGAAAGAAAAAGAGGGAGAAAATAAGGAATGGGAGATATAGATTTCCTACAGAAGAAAAGACATGGTGGTAGAAGTCTCAGAAACATGCAGAGAAAAGACACAGGGCCTTTAGTTTACTGAGGTGCTCCAGTGCGCAGAAGCTGCTGTGCAGGTCGTTTTCTCTGCACAAAGATCACTGGGTTCTATTTGTACTTGTGCTTGAACCTGAGGCCAGCTTGATAACTTTTCATAACAGCTAGACGGTGAACACTGTGGTTATTGGTAAAACACACACACACACAATTACAGACACAAATATGTATTATCCTTTTAAATGTGCGTGTCCAACATAGAGTCACACGTTCCATGGGGTAGGTTAAGTTCACAGGGGTTATATATCGGTCAAATACCACAGCAAGGAAAGAAAAGACGACAATGGCCCTAGAGCTACTCTCACTCTCACTCACACACACACACACACACACACACACACACACACACACAGAGAGAGAGAGACAATACAAAAAGCTGCTATTCACATTTCCTACAATCAGATGTTGTAATGGAGAAGCTACTGAACAGTGTTCTTAACAAATCCAATATACACATGTGAGGAAAGAAATGTGTGAAATTTGACATTTTAATTCTGGTCATTTGGCCCTTGGCATTAGCGTCGATATTAAAGCTAAATGGCATGTTTACTTTAAAATGTTTGGGTATTCTGTGAAGTCCGTAAAGGAGTGTGAAGACTCTTCAGTCACTGTTGTTGTGGTATTGTTGCTGACTAAGCCAACACTGAGTGGATTGTCTGTGGGAACAAGCAGCCGTCCTCGTCCAGACTGCTGGACAGATACAATGACTGAGGTGCTCTCATTTTCATTGTCACAGCTCCCGGGCCTGACGCCACGTCTCGACGGCCTCAGATTTTTGGCCCGAGCCGATGATGTAAGCGTGACCCCATGAACAAACATCTTGTCTGGAGGAGACAGTGAGAGACAGCTGACTGGCACAATGGCCTCTATCTGAGGTTTGGATCACGTGCCGAAAAGAACTGGGTGACATAGATCAAATCTTCGATCAGTAAATATCATGATACACTACACTCTGTGGAAACTAAATTTATACACATGAGAACCAAATGGGAATGACTGTTACATCACCCAATCCTACATGCACAGAGCATTTTGCAACTGACCACATCGATAAATAAATGTGTGAGACAAGAGCTTTCCCTTGCAGCAAAGGTTAGGGGTGGATGGAGGGATGCATGCACAGAAAGAAGACAAAAGGAAAGGAGAGAGGTTATTTGGAGAAGCGCTTGAAATGCGGAGGGAAAGAGCAGCTAAAGGTCACCATAAGTCAGGATAGAGAAAGCCTTCTAGGTAAAGCCTGTGGACAGTGTGTGTGGGTGGTGCCTGCTGTCCGTGGGGTCGCTCATTAACAGCTGAGGAGACCAGGCCTCCCAGAGTCCTGAGCAATTGTTTGACCAGCCCAGGTGCATGGCCCATTCAGACCACAGGAAGCCCCCTTTATCCCCGTTCCTCCAAAATGGACAGAGAAGCGGTCAAGGAGGATGAATGTGATCCAGGCTCTGTCTTTTCTAACACTAACCTAGAGTAGCAGTCGCATGCCCATGCAGTCCTTTGGCCCATTGTAGGGATCCACAGAGTTATTGTGGCATGTCTTTTCTGAATGCTTGGCTAAATGTTCTGGGGTTTTTTTTTGTTTTTTTTTTTATAATATCAAAAACATGTCTGTCTTTTCACACAGCCCCTTTCCAGTACACATTCTTCAGAGAAACGAGTGAGAGTGAATGGGAATAAAATAAGCATGTTCAGTAGTTGTAAAGGCTCAGGTGGGAGGTCTTACACGCCGTAAAAATGGCCAGATTCCATCACTTCCTCCACACTAATTACCATACACTTGGAACAAGTGCCCTCCCTCTCTTCATCCCTGGGCTTCACTACCTCTGACACACACACACACACACACACACACACAAAAATATACACACCCTCACACTAACAACACAGTGAGGTGCAGTTGGGAAATGGTTAACACTCCAGCCGTCCCCTGCTGCCAGTGAAAGCCCACAAAACAATGGAGACATTGTTCATCCAGGGCTAGGCTCTAGACTCTAAGGCTGTGTATGCGTGTGTTTGTCTGTGTGTGTGTATGCGTGTGTTTGTCTGTGTGTGTGTGTGTGTGTGTGTGTGTGTGTGTGTGTGTGTGTGTGTGTGTGTGTGTGTGTGTGCACGTGAATGTCAGGAAAGTGTAGTTTGTGTGTAGGCTCTTAACATGTGCATGTTTCTGCCCTAATTCCCAGAATGACAAATTAAGAAATGTGATTTAATAAAAAAATAAAAAATAATGACTTATGTTAAAAATGCTTTTGGATCACATTGTAGAGTTACTGTTCTTTAGACTTTTCAGCCAAATGATGTCATGACATGACCAACACGAGCCAGGACTCCTGCCGAGGCCTTTACCGCTCCATTGTTGATGCTATCACACTTTAAGTAGTGGATTTATAAAACAATCTGCTATGGTATGTTATGTTGTGTTATTGGGTTAATGCAATAATCAGCCTACATAACAGAAGTGTGAAAGTGGTCCAAAACACACACACAGACACACACACACACACACACACACACACACACACACACACACACAAAAACACCACTTCCTAAATTCATCCATCACTGCCTGCTGCTAAGTATCCACCAAGACTCTTTAAGTCCACCATGTCAAATTAAAACATCACAATAAAAGGCATGTTGACAAAGCAAGGACTGTTTATGATCTTTCCCTCAGGAGCTGTGTGAGGCATAAGAATGTTTCTGGGAGTCTCTGCCTCAAAAAAAATAAATAAATAAAATATAAAAAACATCAATAGGTGGATAAATATTGAATAACGTTCAGCCAATGGCATAAAAGTTCAGCGGCGGCAGGTTTGGAGGCTGCCTGCGGGGTGGTCAGGCACTTCAAAAAGGTCCTGCGTGGCCCCCTTTGAGAGCATGGTAAACAGGGGCATATAGCGTGCCCTCAGAAAGACCAGCCGGCGTGAGGTCACTTCCTCTTTTTCTAGGCCGACCCTCAAGTATTCCACCTCGCCTGAGCCTTCCAGCCAGGCCGTCAGTCTGCCTCTCCACCCCGGTCCACCCCCCACCTTCCCCACCCTTCCATCGCTCTCCTCAGCCACAACTTTCTAACAGGCTTTATCTACAGCCATCTATATCTCTCCTTCTATCTCTCACTGTCTGTCTATTGTTGTTTCAACTGTGTCAGGGTCACTCAGGCTTCAGATCGCTGTTATCTAGCAGGCCAATCGACGGCTTCTTATCACTGCCAATGCAGCCTGCTAGCGCTCCAGGCAGGGAGAGGTCAAGGTGCCCGAGTGTTTCTTCGCATTTGTAAACAAAAAGAAACTACCGTTTACAGCCCAATTTATTGATAAGGGGATCACGTACTGGAACATGCCGGCGTCCTGTAGTAAAAAAAAAAAAAAAAAAAGCTTGACTGATTGAGTGACACCAGCAGGAGTCCGTGTGGGGTTATCATTGGCATTCACGATGCTGTCCACAGTAATCTGTCTTTTCTATATGTACGACAGCCAGTATGATGCAAACCAGCGAAACATTCAATCACACTTCCTTCTCAGTCAGAGGTGGATGCTGGAGCAGGATGGAAGGGGCGCCAACAATACAAGCTGCATTTCACATTCAATTTCATCACTTGTGCCAACAGCGAGTTGTGTGCCTATGCAGTGATGCTGCAATGCCTCTGATCTTATCAGCCTGTGTACTCTATCAAACAGATCACACTAGGGCCGGGCAATATGACCACAAATATTACAATATATTCTCTCTTATTGATCAGTGTCAGAACTAATTACGATATGCATTTAACGGCGCTCCCGCCGCTCCGTGCTGCTTTCGCCTTTCTGCTCAGAGCTAAAGCCCCTAAAAAAAAAAAGACAAAAGAAAAGAGAGAAAGCAGACGGTTCATTTAAGTTGATATTTATCATCAACTCCAACCGTTTTTCTTGACCTTGCCAAGACATCTTTGGAATTCGAAATAGTCTCTTCACTTCATTAGCGTCTGAGGTTTTGCTAAAATCGCCTCATCATCTGCGGTCAGAAACCTCAAATCCCAATCACGTTCAATTGTCGTTCCTCGGCCCGCCTGTGCCCAAAATTGAACAGAAAATCCAATAATGGATAAGAAAAAAAACTGTATTTTTGACTTGACCTCACTGAATGTAGTATGCATACTATACCAAAACCTCAGAAGCACTGGCAAATTTCTGTTACTGTTAAACCACTGTTCACAATTTATTGTTACTTTAATCCAAGCTTCAGCTTCATCTGGCATGATATCCCAAACTATGATCTGGAAATGTTCTCATATCCCAGGAAAAGTTGGTAGTAATTAACACGATGTTCACGACACAGTTGCTCAGGATTTTGTCAAAGTTGAACCAAAAACAATTGCCAACAATTGATTGACGTTTTACAGTTTTGCTCAACCTCTACTTTTTCACCAACATGTTCATTTTTACGTGTCTCAAATCTATCATTCATCACCAATCTTCCTATCATCTTTTCATGCAACTCATTGGGTACAATCACAGCGTTTTATTGTTGTGAATCGGTATCTAACTTCAACGATGTGCGAGCTTATTTTTTTCCATTTGACTGGTTGTCCATCTTTTGTTGTTTCAAGTCTGTTTTCGCCCCACAGCCAGTTTCTGTTTTTGTGATGAGTAGCTGGTGTTGTCTGTTTGTTCCAAGCCTGTTAAGTGTTGCACACTTGCCTGTTTGTATTACAACTGTCTGTGGACATTGTGAAAAACAGATCCTTAAATTTAGGGTTTCAAAAAAAAAAAAAAAAAAAAAAAAAAAAAAAACATCCAAAAATATATTGTTTTAATTATGGATCATTTTAGAACCCAAGTCATCGTTAAGCAATAAAATAAAACGTATATATAACAACAGAAATGTATATAAAATGCGTCATAACGTCACTAACACATTCTAAAAACTTGTGGCTGCAACCATTACACTTTACTTTTGTTCTAAAACTTCCTGAATCGTACAGCAGCAGGAGTTTAGGTGGATGTGAGGTGGTGAGTATTTACAGCCATATGACTCATAGCAGGATAAAACCTCAAGTATTTACCTGCAGCTTTTGCTTCCTACAACCAGTTTAATGACTTCATAGGAGCTGGGACTTTTTCAGCGTCTCCTAAAATAACAGAGTAAGAAGAGGCCCCTGAACTCTTTGGTATAAAAATAACAGCAGCATCACAGGGGGAGATAAGGAGGGCCTTAGCTGGGCTTGTTTTGTTCAGAACAACACTGTCATCTCGAGCTCTTTGTCTTAAACGCAACTTTTGACAAGGTTTCTGTTTCAAATATACAACCTTGTCGACTCCTGCTATTTTAAGATGTGCTTAACTTAAATTGGCAAAATACCAAGGAGGCCTCGGCTCACCAACTTCTGAGTAACTGTTTGAGATGGGTTTTTATTACAGACCGTAAAACTAACTGAACTGATCAAATGTCAAATGTGACTCAGAGGGACACCGTTTCTTGACAGTGTAATTTGTGCGATAAAAATTATCACTGCCTTCCGCGTGAGCTCCAGAGCCATGACGACGCCTGACTGCGTTGAAGCACAGAGTACATAAACAAAAAAAAAGAAAAAAGAAAAAAGAGGGTCATCTGTGTGTCATTAGCTCCAGCGCTGAACTTTTACCACAGGAGATGCTGCATTCAAGAGCACACAAACTTGGAAGGCCTCTCCATCTAAAATCGTTATGCGCTTTTCAAATTTTTCGTGTTCATAACAATATGTAGAAGATGCACCACTCCAAAACAAAAAAGTGAAACAACTGTGCCAATAATGGCCGAGGGCATTCATGGTCACCTCATTAATTCTGCTCAGTCCCCACTCTCATTGATTTTCCTGGCTCGCTAACCCCGTGACCACATACGTACACCTCTCTATGTTCAACCTTTTCACTGACCTCCTGAAAACTTTATGCCTTTGGCTAACTGCTAAGTTCACATCCAACTGTTCATTCTAGAGCTGCTAGCCTCTTAGATATTGACATGCCTGGGGTGGATGCTCTGTTATGTGTATGTGCTGCATATGCCCCTATGGCGGTCCAGCCAACTCTCCTGCCAGAGTACTCCTCCAACTCCATGGATAGGGTAATCAATGTTGAAGGAGCGCCCACACTTTCTTCAAAGACAGCATGTTAGCAGCCCAGCGTAAGCTCATTCTCATGAAAAAAAAGTTGTCAACATGAGACCGGTTTTTCATTATCGTCCAGCTCGGTACAAAGCCGAGCTGGGAGTTATCATTTTCTCTGGGATTACAGGCGGCGTGGCTGTCCGAAGAACAACTGCTGCACCTGCCACAGTGGCGGCCCCCAGCGCCATCCGCCTTCGTGATCACTCACTAACGAGACAAAAGCACTACTCTCTGCAACCCACAAAACTTTCATTGTCAAAATTTGCACGTATAGAAGAAGAAGTTTACATAAAACTGACTGGGCTCCTTAGTGACTGTGATTTACGGGTAAATGCAAACAAATATGCATTTTTCCAGTTAAAGCATCCATTCATTGGGAAAAAGGGGGAAGGGCTTTAACACTGAAGATGTTTTCAGGATGGATGAGAGAGGAGGGAAAGCAGGGTTTGTTTGTCTTTCTGTCATGAATAAGGGAAGAAGAGCTGGTGAAAGAGGAAAAGTACCGAGCGGAGTGTTACTTACAACGATGTGTGCCGGTGACGGGGACCTGGCATCTTTAAGTGCTTGTCTACTTTGAAGACCTCCTGGTTGAACATCTAGCAGGGGCCATTTCATCTGTAGGTACTGAATGGCAGAAAGGAAACAGAATGGAAAGAAAGAAACAAAACATGTTAACAATGCAGAAAGCAAAAACCAAAAGAACAAATCAAAAATAAGACAAAAAAAAAAAAAAAAAAAAAAAAAAAAAAAAAAAAAAAAAAAAAAAAAAAGGGAGACGACATTTCTTGACGGGTGTATGGGTGTGGAAACTCAAAAACATGGAAAAGCAAATAAAGATCTTAAAGGCGGATGGTGGATGGGGTGAAGATGGTCTCGAGCATGCATCCGCGAGTCCAGCAGGAGTGCACACAGTGGTTGTGTAAACCAAATGACTTTTCTTTTTTTTTTTTTTTTTTTTCCCAGAAATATACAGCACTAAACTTAAGCGTTAGTGACAGGCTCCTTCACAGAGAGGAGGAATTCGAAAGTAGCCGAGGAGTGGCTTTAGATTTCATTAGGTCACTAATTTAGAGCTGGGGGAGGGGCAGGAGTTAGGGGGAGTATTGTACACAGCTTATGGCTTTAAGATGACCTAATGTCATGAATGTGACTGTTGTCAGAGTTTTACTGGAACCCATAAAGAGGTTAAAGTGTGGCGTCTCTCCACACTCCTCTGAGGCTAAACCTCCTGACTGCCCCCATAAATGATTGACTTGGCCTCTATCAGAAGTCTCTCTCTTTTTCTCCCTCCCACCCACCCACCCTCTCTCTCTCTCTCTCTCTCTCTATCGCTCACACACATAAGCACAGAAAACCAGATAAGCAGAAACAAGGGTCATGAGAAACATCTGTCTGTGTTATAAACTGGGTGGAGTCCTTTTAATTTGATGACATGTGCTGTGTTGACTGTTCTACCTAAAACGGTCTACTTTGTGCCTCGTCCGAAAATGAGCAGGAGGGGCTCTTGTCCTCGTCGTCTCGTATTCAATCACAATAAAAGCCTGACAGCAACTAACGATCCAAAGCTGCCGCCATCAAAAAATAAATACTTTGCACAAATTCAAGTAGCCATACAGCAAATTCCCTGCAGATTTCCGCTACTGACTGCTGGTGTTGACTTTGCTACAGCATGTGGTCCAAGCTCTTGCTTATCAATGTCATGGCCACCTAGTTTGAGGGACAGAGGTCACAGCAGCTGTTTCAGCTCTGAGGCCTTTTGGAAGGGCTCCGGCGCTAAGAGGTGAAGGGTCTGAAAACTGTAAAAAGGGGAAACTGGTGCGGAACTCGATATCAGCTGTGAACGGTGTAAAACCAAAGACCTTTAATAAAAAAACACTTGCCTCAGTGTCTTCCTGGATTCCCATACAATGAAAGTTGCTAAGGCAATGACAAAGTAACTCTAAAAAAGATGCATAAAAAATAAAGCCTTTATTGACAATGTGTATTACATTTCACACACTCAAATGAATCCTAATAAAATCCTAATTCTGGCATTTTAAAACAAGATTGTGTCGAGCATTTCAAAAAGAAAAGAACAAGAACAGAGACGGGAACAATTACTGGTGCTGGCTAATTAATACAAAGGAAGCTTGTGTAACCTTAGTGCCACAGAAGGCAAATGCAGAGTCATTAAAAATGGGAATGGAGTAAACCCCGCATTAATATACTTAAGACTTGGATCTGGGCATATGATGCCATCTGGGCAGAAAATGTCAAGAATATCAAGTAATCTTTTAAACAGCCTTTCTGTCTGAATCATATTAACTTGGTGTCTTGGTGACAAAAGGTTTTGCTGTTATAAATTAGAACCACTCGGTGCAACCATCGCCCAGTCCTCCCAGTCCTCTAACATAGTCTATGAAGTGCAGAGGGAGCAGAGCTATGTCTCTCTTGTTGCAGTTTGGCTCCCGTACGGAGAGGCAGGTACATTAATTCAATTTGTGTTGCCATTCAGCAAGGGTGACCACTAGTTTGTATGCATGTCTGAGAGAGAGAGTGTGTGTGTATGTGTGTCAGAGCTGGTCAGAGAGTGAGTGTGTCGCGACCCTTCCCGAGACTGTGTCTATATCAGTGGTAATTAGCGAAGAGTTCACTGTGGGGTGCCTGCCAGTGGTAGACGCTGGAGGGAGTTATTGACTCCATGTCCTCGGTTGCAGCCCCTGCTAAGGAAAAAAAAAACAGTTTGCTGCCTGGTCTTTCTCCACCACTACCACTCATTTATGACCCCAAGATGGCTTTTACTGCTAAAAAACTGGGTTTGTTTATGCTTGTTTGTATGTCCTGCGAGTGGAAAAAGGAAAGGTTGTAAAAACTCCAGAGTTGAGGTCTTGTGGGTTTTTATGGACCCCCCACACTGGGTATTAATTGCCATGAAGGGGAGAGAGGAGGAGGGAAAAGGAGGGGGGTGGTGGTGGTGTTGTAACAGGAAAAGAGGAGGAAGAGAGTGACGGGGCTGCTGTCATCTATGAGGTAATTCAAGACAGTGTCCATTGGTGCCAGAAGGGCTAGAAGATAGGGTAGTGCTGCAGAGAAAGAAAAAAAAAGTGGTGGGGGTGTGGGGGGGGGGTTCTTGTCCATGGGAAAGTCCTGCCGTTGCGTGTGCGCACATGCTCACACATGCAAATATTCAAACACAGCTGCAGCTGGCAGAAGGGTCGAGAGGACATTCTGAGGAGATGGGTAAGGAGCGTGAAGGTGACACCCCTGAGTGTGGCAATGGGGTAGAGAGACTTTGAAAGACTACAGAGATAGGGAGGGTGCCGGAGCGCATGCCCTGACAAGTGGCTCCTCTTCAGCCCCAGCTATTGCAAATGTTCTCACACACTAATCTCTCCTGCAGGTTTTACAAGCATGCCAAGGAAAACGGAGCCCTGGCAAGCACCGGGCTTTCCGACCACCCCCTTCTTGGCCTCCTTCCTCTCTCGCTCTCGCTCTCTCTCTCTCTCCCTCCACCCGCCCTTCTGCCTTGCTAACGGACGCACCGCCTGGGCTTGACTAGGCCCATGACCTGTGACCCCTCTCTGCTGCTCCAAGCCCCTCCCAGTTCCCCACTCTGCGACCTGAAAACTCTCCTGCTATGAGGGGGCCCCCCGGGTAACTCAAGAGCCATTCCAATGTGACAAATTGCTCCGGAGTTCCAGGATAACTCTCTCTTCTCCTCTGTCCCCCCCCCCCCCCCCCCACACACACCACACACACACACACACAAACACTAACCAGCCCCCCTTGACAGACCCCCACCCTGTAAGAGCCACCCAGTGGTTGTGCTCCAGCTCCAGAGTTGTGCAGCAGACGCCCCCCCCCCCACTCTGTTCCCTTCCCCTACCCTGTGCCCCTCCTCGCCTGGCCAGACCCACAATGGGAGCTGAATGACTCAATTGTCTCTGATGAAGTGAAAGACAAGGGAGTCCTCTAAATCCTTACAGAGGGATGAACTCACTCTCACTGTCCCGCTTCTCCTGTGCACTACTGCTTTCCCAAGCATAAGAAGGGAGTTGGTGGGTGGGTGGGGGCAGGAGTTGTTGACCATGGCTATGACAAATAATCATTTCCACTATTGATTATTTTGTCTGTTATTTATCAATTCGAGCAATTAGTCTATAACATTAGTCAGGAAATAAAAAGAGCCCAAAGTCACTTATACTTTTTGATGATTGATTCTCTGTTGATCAATTCATCTCCCGCTTGTTTTGTCACTCTACTATTTTTAAGTGTGTAGCGACTTTGCTGGACTGCTCAGCCATACGTGAGTGACTCCTGCTGCACCAGGGCTTGGCATGTTATGAGCTACAGAGTGTTAACCCAGATCCACACCGACTGTCATCGCAGTGAAAACAAGCTGGGGCCCTGGTCCCGGTGTCACAGCTCGTGGCGGAGGGGAGAGCAGGTTGAAGACAAATGGAAGGGCATCCTGAGCGCTCACACATCATCCTCACACGTCCGCACACTAACACTTCCACACACTGTTGTTACTAATTCAACAAGCTGCCAACAGAAGCAATTTGGCCTGAAACACTCCTTCCTGGTACCAGCGCTAGACCTCTGATCCTCCCAAAAATAAACCTTTTTTTTTTTTTTTTCAACATCCTATCAAACATTACCCAAACGTCAATATGTGCCATTGACAAAAAAAAAAAAAAAAAAAAAAAAAAAAAAAGCAGGGGTAAGTCTTACTCGTAAATTTTTTAGTGTGAACGACACGCAAAGTGCAGGATTGTTCTGCCTGTTTCTGGTGAACAACCTGCTCTTTTTCCATCAAGCCCCCCCAATCTGATGTGTTTATCACATGCGGCCTGGCGGCTGGAGCAGCAGCCAACGCACGGCTTGTTCGTTTTGTTTTGGATTAAGAGCAGAGGGCTTCAGACCAATCAAACAAACAGAGCTCCTTATGTGCCAATATGGCTCCCAAACACTGGTCCACTTTCCAGCAGGGGACCGTGGGACAGATGATGAGGACCGCTGGGGATCCGTCGAGCGTTCCAGCCATGTGAGCGGTGCGAGTGAGGAGGAGAGACGGACACAGACAGACAGACAGATAGCAGCTTGGGTTCAGAGTCAGCATATGGATGCTTGGATGTTGATCTACAGAGTCCAGCAGATCTTCAGCCCATCTGTGGCCTGCTCATATCACAGACATGACACAGCTTTACTTGCACATTACGGTCAGTGTGTAAAGATAACACATGTATGTTCAGTGAACCCCGCCACTCCCCAACATACTGTACATGCACTTACATACGCACACCTGAACGACAATGCTCACCCACATTTGAACATCCTCTGGTCGACAGGCCCCGCTGCTCCTCTGGGAGAGCACTCAGAGATGGGATTGACAGCTTGCAGATTAAACCAATCAGACTGCTACTATAAAGAGCTTTATTTAAGTCTGAAATGATCAAGGCTAGTAAGAGGAGCCCATTCAAAGCTCTGCAAGTAAACTGCACCGAGCTTAAAAGATTAGTACATCCAGTTTGACTACAATTTTATCCCTTTAAAAACGAGAGCGGAGCATATTGTCTTGATCTGTTGCGGATATTGCCAGCAGTCTTTGTCCTCACTCACAGGTGCAAGAGAAGAAGCAAACA